CACTACTTTGTAGGTCTTCAAACGAGAAAAAGTAGATATGTTTCTTATCATAGTTACATTCGTTTCATTACATACGTTATTTTCCATAATTACAAACAGGATGTGATAACGCGGTAATCAAGTACCTAATATAAACCACTTTAATAGATAAGAAACATTTGAGTCGATTTATGATCGGTTAAATTCTTATATTTAAGACCATTTTATGTAAGGTCATAAATCAATCATAAAACCACATTAATATCTTAAGGCTATTGTCAATGCTAATTAAAATAGCGACATAAGGGATTATTTATAAATATTTTGTTTAAAAAATACTAGCAATATACAGCATATCAAATATGCCAAGTATCTAACACTGTAAGAGAATCTTGTTTTTTTTACTGTATGTCACGATATATGTAAAAATATTTAGAGAAAATTTTCCCGATCAAATTTTCTTCGTTTTCTTCAATATAATTTTTATGATAGAACGAAACGTATCGAATTTTACTTTGGATTATAAGAATGTAAAATAGTCAAAAAATTATAAACAATAATTAACCAATAATTCCATAGAAAGAAGGTAGTCATGCCATTTAATATGCTACTTCCTTGTAATTTCTTAAATCTGCAGCGCAACTCATGAACAAAATGATATCCGTATAAACACTGAATGTAATGAGAGAGAGAGAGAGAGAGAGAGAGAGAGAGAGAGAGAGAAAGAAGGAGAGACGAATGTAGTACCAAAAGTAAATTAGATTACTTTTTATAATAAACAGTTATGGGTGATTAAACTTTGATTAATTTAATCAATAATTAATTTAATTAGCAGAATTATTTATATCAAAATTTTTACCTGCATAATTTCCTTATCTTTCTTCCCATGGATAACAAATTAATTGTCATAATTAAGTAAATCGAAATTTATTTGAAGTTTTCGCTCTATATCACGGAGCAATTATCAAAATACAAATCGAATTATTTGCACGTGCCGAGTATGTCTGCCGATTGTCTATTAACACACAATTAAGGATAATTATGAAAATAACATGCCTTGACGGACAAATATGACGATACAGATACCTCGGATGTTAAAAACAGTGATTAGAAGTTGCGTGTATAATCTCGGGCCAGCATTAAAATAATAGCGTTGATGTAATGAGGGTAAAGGAAGAAAGAAAAAAAGAAGTTGCAATGCATAAATACAGCTGCGTACATGATACCTTAGTTTATTCCACTTCTGTATAACCTGTGAAAATTGTTGCGTTCGCATTGAAAATTTCGTATTTTACTCGACGGTGAGAGCTAGTTGAAAACAGATTTTGCAAATAAAACTTTTATAATTAATCTCATTTTTCATATTATATATTGATCAGACCATATATCACATCATGCCAATATTAGATGGTTATAATTACTTGTGATTGGTGTATCTTTCTGTATCAAAAAGTTTTTCAAATATCAATATAATCGTTATTTTTTTTTATCACCGATAGCGTGTTATCGAAGTTAAAGTAATTTTCCATCATACGCACAATTCGGCTGCAAATCATTGAAGCATAACGCTTTCTACTTTCACATAAGTGTAAGAAAGAATATTTTTATAGAGCAGCTGCGAAATGGCACTCATAACGGCTTACTGGGGCCTGGATGGCATAATAATTCTTATGACCCTCATGATAACTGTATATCTTTACATGACGCGTAAATTCAAGTATTGGAAGAAGCGAGGCATTTTGGAAATAGCTCCAACGCCTTTTTTTGGCAATTTCAAGGAGTGTCTATTCCTGAGAAAAGCCCCGGCATATTTCCTAAAAGAACTCTACGAAGAAACGAAGGAACCTTACATGGGCTTCTACGTGTTGGATAAACCCTTCCTGCTGGTCCGCGATCGAGAACTCGTCAAAAACATTTTAGTGAAAGATTTCAGTAATTTCGCCGACCGATACACAATGGCGGATCCGAACGATCGCATAGGTTACGCAAATCTCTTTTTTATGAAAAATCCAACCTGGAAGACGATAAGAACGAAACTCACGCCATTCTTCACGTCTGGCAAAATGAAGAAAATGTTCGATTTGATGACAGTATGTGTAAAGAATTTAGACGAATATATTGATTCATTACAATTGGAAGGTGAGTGCCGAATAATTCATGAAATAAAGTATTTAAGTATTGAAGAGTATAAAGAATTTAAAGTTTAATATATATTATGAAATTGTAATTACATATATAATTTGCATATATTTTTGATCAAACAGACTTTAAAGAAATTAACAATCTTGCTTTTTGTTTTTAATTTTCAATAAATTCCAATTTACTTAAAGTAATAATTAAAAAGTATAATTAGAAAAAAAATATTTAACTTTAAAAGTTTCGCCAATTTAAGAAAATTAAAAAAGTAAGTTTATTTAAACAATTAAATTATAATTTTTTAATAAAATTGATTCAAGCTTCGTCAAAAAATCGAAGAAAGTATTTAATGCGGAAGAAAAATGTATTATAACAATCTTTGGGGAAAACCAATTCATTATAATGTAATTCACATTTTTCAATTATGTATGGATGCAATAAAGATTTCCATGTTTACTCATATCGATGAAAACGTGGAAATTAAAATAAGATATTCATAGATGAACAAACTAGTAACATTAATGGCAGGTAATGGAAAGACGATAGAAGTGAGAGATTTAACCGCCCGATTTACCACGGACATAATCGGCAGCACCGCTTACGGGCTCGACGTAAATTCGTTTAAAAATCCAAACGCGGAGTTTCGCAAATACGGCAAGATGATATTTGACTATGATTCGGTTCGCAGCTTTGAGCTGCTCTCGATATTTTTCCTCCCAACTCTAGTCCGTTTGGCACGTGTGAAGATGTTCGGCAAAGAACCGACCGACTTTATGCGTAGAGTTTTTTGGGAGACCCTCGCCCAGCGTACGGAATCTGGCGTGAAGAGGAACGATCTCATCGATATCCTAATCGAACTTAAAAATAATAATAACATTCAGGAGCATAAAGATTTCAGTAAGCGAACTAAAACTCCAAGTTCACGTAAACATATATGTTATATGAAACGTGATATGGCTATAAATGATAAGATTAACTACCAGATTTTTATAATTAATAATCCTGATAACGAGAAAGTTATTGTAACAACTATTGGAAGCTTTCAAAAATCTACAAATAAAATAAATTTCAGCATTCGATGGTGATGATCTTTTGGCACAAGCAGCCAGTTTCTTCTCGGCTGGTTTTGAAACTTCTTCAACGACTACGGCGTTTGCATTGTACGAACTCGCGATGCAACCTGAATTACAAAACATTCTGCGAAAAGAACTTCTCGAGGCACTCGAGAAATCCAATGGAAAAATTACATACGATATGGTATACAATTATCATTTACTATATTTCCTTCTTTTAAATTTTATCTTTATATATTATTCTTAGCAATATGTATACTTTTTTAATATTTTAGTTAATATATAATTTATAGTACAAGAAAAATAAATTTTATGTTATAGAAAGTGAATTTAAAATCAAGATAAAATCTAAAAGTTTTGCTCTATTTGTAATTATAATTTAAATGAAACATTATTTTTATGCATAATTTCTTTTATTATTAGGTATGGTCATTACCATATCTCGATATGGTGATCTCTGAAACCTTGAGAATGTATCCGCCATTGGGCTATCTAAATCGCGTGGCTAAAGAGACGTATAAAGTGCCTGAATTCAATCTCGTAATTGAGAAGGATACACCAGTATACATCTCAATGCTTGGCTTACATTATGACCCGGAATATTTTCCCAATCCCAATAAGTTCGATCCAGAGCGATTTAATGAAGAAAATAAACGTAACAGACCGGCATGCGTCTATTTCCCATTTGGAGAAGGTCCACATGCATGTATAGGTAAGAAAAAAAGATCGATTTTAATATATTGAGATATTAAGATATTTTTTCATTTTTTCTTTGTTAGCATAATATGGTATAGAATATAGTATAAAACATAATATAGAATACAGTACCGTTACACATTTCTCAGGCAATCGCTTCGGACTCTTGCAAACAAAACTAGCACTGTTTAAGATCTTGAGCAAATGCGAAGTGACAACGTGCAAAGAGACTATGATACCAGTGCAAATTGATCCAAGAGGAGCTATGACAGTGCCGTTAAACGGTGTAATATATCTCAATTTCCGAAAAACTAATATCAATGCTATTTAAAATTTAGCACAATTTTATATTTTAAGCCATAAAATATATATAATTAATCCCTTTACTTTAAATATTAGCAATTAGCTTTAATAAAAAATCTACATGACTAAATGATTTAAAAGTGTAAAAGTGTTAATAGAAATAAAAAAAATATGTTATGCCGAATATTCTATTCTTTAAATTAATTTTTAAAATAAGCCCATATACGATATTTTAATAGCGAATACAGGAAATTAGCTCGAATTGAATTATTTTAAAGCAAAGACCGAGTTATTCATCAAGTTACAATTATAAACAATATTAGGAATATAAAAGTAGGCAACGTGGACTTAATTCTTAACTTTAATTCTAATTTTATTTTCTACAGTTTAAAAGTGGCAGTGAGTCACTTTACTGCACTATAGATAGCAGCTAATTGCGCATTAATTTCTCAACTCCGTTTAATAACTTTTTATTATTTTTACATTTTTATTTATAGTGGCATAAAATTTTTAATTTTTTTAAAATTTTCTTTGAACTGAAAATTGGAATTGTTCTTTGTGCGATAAATGTTATTGTTCGAAAATTTACATAGAAACGTCGTCATATCTTTTCAAAAGTAATTCATTTGTCTTTCAAAGTGGGGCAAGCAATTGCTAGCTCATGTTCAGGAGAGTGAGAAATGAGCTCACGCTGTTGTTGCAACATGATGACTGCGCAGTACAACTTCAAGCTTCAAGAAAATCACATATATTTCGTGTGTGGACATAGTAGTGCATAAAACAATACTTTTTGTGACAGCACTCATCTTGAGATTCAACGCTACTTTTCCGCTTACAAACAACATCAGTAAATTCGCAGTAATTTTACAATAAAGTAATTAACTTTTTATAATGTCCTTGTCATTGGATTGGAATGCGCTGGATTACGAATCGATTTTGCTACCATATGTTACATTATTTGAATATTTTTATCCTCAAATAATTGACCGATTAATTTGGAGGAAAAGCCAAGTATTCATTACAATGTTACGATTTCAACGGAAAAGAATTAAAATATCTCAAGAATATTTGCATTTTTTAATCGTTATGTGTGAATGTGTTTTAATAAAACGTTCAAAATATTTAGATTTGTTTAACGAATCAAAATTTAAGTAGTATTTTAAATACATTGTTAAAAGTGTATTAAGTTATTGATCATTGTTTATACATTAAAAAAACCTTTATCACGATCCAGTAGTATTTCTCTAATTTTTAATTTATAGAATATATTTTCATTGTCTAATAATTTTACCATAAATTCAACAAGCATATTTTTATATAAAAATAAATTATAATTAAACATTAAGTAATTTATAATTAATATTAATAATAAAAATATTCAATTTAAAAGCAATATGAGCCTAAAGCATGATTGTAACGTGGACATATCGGTTGCGACACTTTTTTTAAATAGGTTTTGAAACGCACTAATATTTTGCAAATGCGAACCACGACTGGTGTACCGTCTGTAAATTAAAGATAATACACCATCGTAGTTCGCATTTGCAAAATATTAGTTACTTATAAAAATTATATTATATATATATATATATATATATATTAAATATATACTAAAATGAAAAAAAGCAAAATATCGCAACCGATATGTCCATACGATTGTACATATAATAATACAATTACTTTTTTATGTACTTTTAACGATCTTCAATTTAACTTTAATATAATTTTGTTAACATTTTTAATAAATTAATAGCTGAAATATTTTCAAAGCTGTTTCAAACGTTATATAATCTGATTATATAAGTCTGAATATATAAATGTTAACGGTATTTAATACTGAGAAAAAATACCGCAAAAAAACACTGTTCGTTATCATAATTTAATGCAGTGGCATAAACACGATGTAATTTACTTAAAGATGTAAATGGAATAACGTATATAGCATATAGATGTTCCTTGAACCGATTTTTGAGACTATTACTATTTTGTATTATTTTGATTATTCAATTTCAAGATAATTTAATTAATATTTACAACATAATCCACGAATCTGTTCTCGATTCTTAAAGCAGTAAGACTCAAACGTAAACAAACATGGTCATATTAAGGAATACAAGATGAGAGTAATAAAGCGCTCGTTAGCATGAGACACGGAATCAATTTAGTTTATTGTGATCACGAGACTAGTCCGTGTTCAATATAATACGTAAGTTATTCAATGACTTGCTACTTTCATAACGAGAAAGTAGATATATTGTATTTAGTGAGTGTAAAGAAATGCATGCGAAGTTATTGTCCTTTATATAATGATCGATATCCGACTAAAGTTTATCCTTCCGCGAAAACTTTTTATAATATTATGTATCGACTGATTCAACGTGGATTGTATTATAAATATTAATTAAATTATCTTGATTTTGATTTTTTCTTAAAAACTAAATAATTTTGAAATTTCAAACGAATTTTTGTTAGAAACATTTTATTGTCAATCCGTCGGAATTAGGAGTATCTCAAAAATCGTGGCAATCGATTCAAGGAACATTCTGTTCAATGACAGATATTCTTAAAATAAGATATGAAACATGAACTAATTCCGTGGAATGAAGTTATAAATGTTATAAATGTTTATATCTTATAAAGTTATAAATGTTTATTACATAAACGTAAATCTTTATGCATGCATTAATAAAATGATCTTAAAATGTATAAAATTAAATAAATTTACAATATTTACAAATTTTCAGACAACATAACAATATGTATAAATTTAAATTGAAGAAATAGGCTCCAAAGAATAACTCAGAAAATCTGATAACAATTTAACAATCTAACAATAATTTGTGTCTTTGTTAAACGAAGGCCAAAAGCAAAAAGTGTTTGTCAAAGTAAATGTCTTTAAATGTCATTTTCTAAAAATCGATCTTTCAACTTTATTTTCTAAATTAATGATATATTGCCAACATAATTTTTCTTTAATTTTGTAAATATTAAAAATACAATAACTTCTTCAATTTTTATACAAACGCAAGAAAAAATATTTTTACAGAGAATCTGTGAAATGGCGCTCATAACGGACTGGTGGAACCTGGATATCGTAATAATTCTAGCAATTCTTATTATAACCGTCTATCTTTACATGACTCGCAATTTTAAGTATTGGAAAAAACGAGGCGTTTTGGAAGTAATGCCGCCGACACCTTTCGTGGGCAATTTTATGGAATGTCTACTCTTAAGGAAATCTCCGTCACACTTCCTGAAAGAACTTTACGATAGAGGAAAGGGCGAACCTTATATAGGTTTCTACATCCTCGACAAGCCCATCTTGCTACTTCGCAATCACGAAATCATTAAAAGTGTCTTGATAAAAGACTTTAATTCCTTCTTCAATCGATACGCCTCAGCCGATCCGAAGGATCGTATTGGTTACGCCAATCTCTTCTTTATCAGAAATCCAGCTTGGAGGATTATAAGAATGAAATTGACGCCATTCTTTTCATCTGGTAAACTGAAGAAAATGTTTGGTCTGATGCTAGAATGTGGGAAGCATTTAGACGAGTATCTCGAATCACTGAAATTGGACGGTAAGTTGGAAAGTATGAGTATCGAACGATTCGTGAAATAAAAAAATTTTGAGATATAAAAACTTTTAAAATAAAAATTGCGACTGTAATCACAATTATCTGTAAAGTTTTCATAATACTAAAATATTTTATATTTCTCAACATTCGAAGATATTCACTCGTGACAATATAAAAATGCGAAAATCGATATATCTACCACTAAAAGGTTTAAACAATTGATAACATTGCCGGCAGGTAAGGGACAAATAATAGACGCAAAGGACCTAAGCTCCAAATTAACTATGGATGTGATCAGCAGCACTGCTTACGGACTCGACGTGAACGCGTTCAAAGATTCAAACACTGATTTCCGCAGATATGGCAAGATGATGTTTAAGAATAGTTATCTGCGCGGTTTGGAGCTATTGGCAATGTTCTTCCTTCCAACTGTAACTCGTATGGCGACACTAGCATTGATCGGTGCGGAGACCACCATCTTTCTGCGCAAGCTTTTTTGGGAGACACTAAATATGCGTATAGCGTCTGGAGAAAAAAGATACGATCTCATAGATATTCTGGTCGAGCTCAAAAAGAACAATAGCGATGAAGAAATTGATGGCTTCAGTAAGAATTATACTTACGTAGTTTGTATATAAGAATAAATATATATAAAAATATGATAACTTGCAATGACAAAATTAGAGTAACCGATCGACGTCTGAGCAATAATTACGATAATTGAATTTAATCGCGGCAAATAACAAAAAGCTTTCAAAACTCTATAGATGAATTAAATTTTAGAATTCGATGGGGATGATCTTCTGGCACAAGCGGCCAGTTTCTTCTCAGCCGGTTTCGATACGTCCGCAGTGCCGATTGCTTTCACGTTGTACGAACTCGCATTGCAACCTGACATTCAGAGCAGGCTAAGAGAAGAAATACTCGAGGCGCTCAACGATTCCAAGGAGATGTCACATACGACATGGTGGATAAGCATGATATTTCATCAAATAATTTCTGTGACAAACGCTACATAAATATTGTTCATACTTTTATCAAATACTTCTTCGTCCTTTTTCCATCAATTTTTTTATTTTCTGAGCAAATTTTTTAAAACTGAGAACTTTAAATCCCCGATATATAAGACTAACAATCTTTATTTTACTAGATCATGTCGCTGCCATACTTAGATATGGTGATATCAGAAACTTTGAGAAAGTATCCACCATTAGCATATCTGAATCGTATGGCAATGGAGACTTACAAAATGCCGGATTCTAATCTCGTACTTGAGAAGGGCACGCCGATTTATATCCCAATGCTTGGCCTACATTACGATCCGGAATATTTCCCCGATCCTGAGAAATTCGATCCGGAGCGATTCAGTGAGGAGAACAAACGTAGCATGCCGGCATGCGTTTACATGCCATACGGAGACGGTCCACATGCGTGTATAGGTGAGAAAATTAATTTTAATTGTCATATATATAAAAAAAGACCGTCCGTATTGTGTCCATCGCGAAATTAGAAT